AATTTGAGCATGTGGAACTTCGCACTTGATCGGAAAGGGCTAATGATCAAGAGAGGGTAATAAGACCAACTGCCATTGGCATCTAGTTTCAACGGGCCCGCTTCTATCATACATCTTCAACATCATCTCCACCGATATGAATAATGTCTCAAGCTCCTGTGACCTGCCGACAGTTAGTATGGGCGGGGCTGGCTTTTCGGCTATGACGACGAACCAAACAGTAAACAACAACTGGATCCAGGCAGCAATATAAATACACAAGCTCTCACATAGAAGGTATCCTTGGCTATCACATCACAAACGATCAACCACCTCATCACAGCTCAGATCTTAGCGCACCTAACGCTTTCTCTTATTTCTCCCTTTCTCACTCCTCTGACCAGTTATCACTTGCATGGCGCAGACGATAAAATGATAAATAATCTAGTACACGAACGCACTACCGTATCTTGCGATAACGCCATGTTTTCGAATGACCACTCAGTAGTGCTAAACCATTTGAGAAATATGCTTTTTCTTCTGTATTTCCAAAGCAAAAACATCCAGTACGTTGTAGCGTTGAGAGTTCGCGATTTCGCCATGAGCAGGTTGTCCAGTCTCGATACCGTGGTAATGTCTAATTTCCAGATGGGTTCTGCTGTGTACTACAGTGTCCTGGGCACCTTCATTTGCACTGGCATTCTTCTCGGTACCACATTTGTGGTCGTGCTGAACCTTTTCAGCGATATCGGCGAATTCCGCACCCAGATCGAAGAAGAGATTAGCCAATTCCAAGGTAAACTGTTCTCCCAGTCGACCTGGACAATTATATTGTCTCATCAAATGCTGAAACTCTTTCAGACCTATGCCGACGATGCATGGACAGTGATGATGGTCACGAATAAAGCCCCGTCAGTACAGCGACAGAGCGTCTTCTACGAATCCCTTATTCGTAACAAAAGACAGGGATCATATGCCGATGGAGGTGGCAGTGTCGTTGGCGGAGGCGGAGGCGAAGGATATGGTGGTTGCCAGTGCGCAGCTCAAGCAACGGGTTGCCCTTCAGGACCACCAGGTAACACTCACTCATAATCATAATCACTCACGACAAATCATATTTTCGAACTGAAACATTTTTTTGTACAGGACCTCCAGGACTTGCGGGAATACCCGGAGAAGACGGTACCCCCGGATATCCTGGTCAGACAGGTGGAGTCGGCCTGTCCGCTTCGTCATTCCATTCCTCAGGATGCATCCAGTGCCCAGCAGGACCTCCCGGTCCACAAGGACCAAACGGTGGACCTGGCCCAGCTGGAGCTCCAGGAAATCCAGGTCAAGACGGACAAGGGGGCGGAGCAGGTAATCCTTGAACAAGAAATGACTATTCGCTTTATTAGGCCAGTTCTGCAGTATGATGTTTCAGGCTACCCAGGACCTCCCGGACCCCCAGGAGCACCAGGACGGAATGGTAACGCCGGCGCACCAGGACAGGATGGAGCACCTGGAGCTCCAGGTAACACTATTGAAAATGAGCCTTCTAGAATTCAGTAATATTCTCCGATATGGTGTTTTTAAGGAACACGAAGGAGTAACTATCCCGGCCCAGCTGGTGCGCCAGGACCAGCAGGAGCACCCGGTGCACCTGGACAAAACGGTAGCAGCTACGGACCTGGGGCACCAGGACCGGCTGGACCACCCGGTCGACCCGGAAACCCTGGAACAAACGGAAGCCATGGAGCACCAGGGCAAGCTGGTGCTGCTGGAGCTCCCGGCTCGGACGCTGCTTATTGTCCTTGTCCAGGAAGAAGTCGTGGTTAAAATAGGACCACTTGACTGGATTGCAGCGGACACCATCTGCGTACTCTGTGCTGCCCGGCGTATCTTTTACTGCCTTAGTAGTTCAAATAAATCTTACCAAGACTTTATGCCTTCTGTATTTGCAACTGCTACCGTTTATCAATAAGCTAGAGTAGCATGTTCGTCGTTCTGTCTACTAGTAGTCAGATTTTTGAAGTGCTTGACACTTGACCTGTGGGAAAGTCACTGTCATCAGTTTCAAAGGAGCTAGAATGACGGAAGCTTCCACCGTGACATCAACGATGTACAAATAGCACAATTAAATGCAAAGGTTGAAATAAAGTAGTGGGTTGTAAAAGTAAAAAAGGGAGTGCTCAAAGGCCTGCCCCAAAAGCAAATTGGTGTGCTTCATGCACACGAATACGAACGTATTGGTGCCAATTGGTCTGCCAGAAAGAAAAAAGAAAAGAATCTCCAGTTCGCTCAGGTTAAATGACTAACTCACCTCGTAACTGCGCTGTGCTAAGGCAATGAGACTAAGCCGTACAGGAAGTGCAAGCCAAGGACGCGCCACAGAAGCTGAGCCACCAATGACGCCACAGACAACAGCCTGACTGAAAGAAGCCGAATTGCTAGCTGCTCAGCTGTCCTTCACCAGGCACCGGCCACTCTGTCGTTAATTCTATGCACAGCCCACATCTGATTGTCCGCCAGAGAGACTCTATCCCCTCCAGATCCGGATGGGATCCCTGTGAATTCTGCCATGGTTGTGCCTTTAACAAAACGATCAAATAAGCTTCAGTTTAGCAGAGGCTCCTTAGCTCCACAAATGTCGGTGCTAATCGTTTCCCGCTTTTTTATGTTATCATATATCATAAATAAATAGGGCGGAAGTGGTGTAGTGACAAGTGGCGCGCTTACCACGCGAGCGGTCCGGGGATCAAATCCTGGGTCGTGAGTCGGCCAACCAAGCCTTCCATCCCTCCGGGGTCGGTTAATTGGTACCAGACTTGTCTGGGAGGATAAAAACACTGACTTGTACATCGGCTGGCCCCCGCAAGTCATTGTATAGGCCACATCGCATTCAAACGCCACTACGAATGTGCAAATGGAAGTATTATAGAATGCGTGCCGCATCCCAAAAGGGATTGATCAACGGCAAATGCTTTAAATCCTTTATTAGCTTTATAAATAAAAAAGTCTGGTAGAATAAATACAAATTTATGCGGATTACACTGCGTCCCATAATTATGATCCCACCTTTGAAGGAGGATTTTCACGATTAGAATGGAGGTCGAGGAAGAAGTAATTCACCTAGTTGAGTAACCCACGGACCTCCTGAGGGTGCGAACTGATGCGCAATTCGCATCGAAAAATTTGACCTCGGCGACCTATTATGCCTCAAAGTTGGCGGGTCTGGCGATCTCCGCCCACCGACCAGCTGATCACTCGCCGCAGATCTATACGTGGGATTGATTAGATAGCAGAGAGAGCGTGATGTTGAGGAGGGCACAGCGATAAGAGTCGCATCAATGCGCAAATCAGCGGGGAAGGAAGGGGTCCCATTTCTCGGGTTCTGGGCCGTTTCTCATGGTTCTTCCTTCTTTCGTGTACCAATCACCATCCCTGAGTTAATTTGAAATGGGTTGCCTTCCAGCGTGAATTCGTCCTTTAAAGGACGAATTCACGATGAAAAAGCAACCCATTTCAAATTAACCTAGGGATGGTGAGTGGTACACGAAAGAAGGAAGAACCATGAGAAACGGCCCAGAACCCGAGAAATGGACCCCTTCCTTGCCCGTTGATTGAGCATTGATGCGACTCTCATCGCTGTGCCCTCTTCAACACTACGCTCTCTCAGCTATCTAATCACTCGCCACGTATTGAACTACGGCGAGTGATCAGATGATCGGTGGGCGGAGATCGCCGGACCCGCCAGCTTTGAGGCATGATAGGTCGCCGAGGTCAAATTTTTCCATGCGAATTGCGCGTCAGTTCGCACCCTCAGGAGGTCCGTGGGTCCCTCAACTAGGTCAGTTTCCCTTTCTTCGACCTTCATTCTAATCGTGAATTCCTCCTTTAAGTCGTCAATCTCACAAATCCAGTTGTTTATAAGTCTCATCTATTTTATAAAGCCTCCCATTGTTTCAGTTGTAATGATGTAGTGTATGTATGTATGTATGTATGTATGTGTGTCCGTCCGCAAAATGAAGTGGTAGGGAAACTCGTGAAGTAAACAGACCGTTAACAAAATCGAGTAACTATGACTTTAGCAATCAATGTTTTGCAGTGCTATCAATGTGATAACACCCCAACGGCTATATAAACACCTACTGAGCATGGTCTCATTCATTCCACATGATGCTGCAATAGCAGCTGGAGAGCAGTAGAGGGAATAGGATAAGATGGAACGAGGGCTAACCGCTCCAAAAGACCTGAGGTCCAATTAATATCATTCTAAGGTCATGTCACGATTACGGTAATGCCTTCTACTATATAAGACACTTTTTTGTGCATGCGTGCCACCTCCACGAGGTGTCCATGTCACCAGTGGATGGGAGCACATTGGAAGGAGTAAAGCTTACACAGGTAAGGAGGTCCCGGTGGTTGCCGGGGGACCAATCTGTGTAACAATATCGCATATAAATACGCAATTGCCTATGAACATCAATTTTCTATTTGAGATCACAGGAATTTTTTCTAATAATTTTTGTGTAAAAGGCCACTCAGCCGACGTCCCAAAATTATACGTCCACCTCATGTTTATCGATTACTTTTCACTTCTGTTTCACGAAACTTTTTTATTGTGCTAACATTTTACTTCTCAAGGGACAGTATGATAAAATGCTGTCGACTTTTTAAAAGGTCAGGTCGTCGCAAAAACTATCGAATTAGGCATCGTACCAAATTTTGACCAAATTTGCGCCGTACTCAGGAATATCTTCAGATATTTTACATGTTCAAAGATAATCTTCCAAAAATCAATTTTACCCATGGTAAGGAAGTAGATTTGCTCTTTCTGACAGGCGCTGCAGTTGTTTCGAACTTGGCACACTGACTTGTTTGGCACACTAAATGCAGTACATAAATGACGGTCACAGTACTACTACAATTTTTCGTTTTCTCTGTGTGCATAGAAAAAAAGGTGCTTTTCACTGATGGTGAGTGATAAGTGGATCTTTTCCTCATTGGCAAGTGGGGTGCAGTAGTATGAGCAAGAACGAACTCATCCCACTGCGGACACTTCTAAGGCAAGGACGGTCTTTTAGTCGAACTCCCTACACAGTCCTCTATCACAACAAGAACAAAATGAATGTTCCTCTTGATTTCCT